AATTATTTGAAAATGGATTTGCCCATGGCTGGGAACTCCCTATGGTCATCATTGGAATCAAAACTCCAGTGTGTCCATTATACACAAACCCATATCTTTTAGAATTATTTTTGCTACTTAGTAGCTGCCTCAATAGACATCAATATCAGTAGAGTACAGTAACAATTGCTGTTTGACATACATTTTCAAGTGAAATTAATTACAACAGCTACCATTGGAATGGCTGATCTGCTAGGACCCGAGTTGGTTTCCAGACTGTGAAACTTCTCATTTTAAACTGGGTCATGGGCAAACTAGAAGTTGGTCCTCTTATTGTAAGTGACATATTTAAGCTTCTCAAACATCTGGGAAGCAGGTATTAACTTTCTTATTTCTCAGGTAAAGGACTGAAGCCCAAGCTAAAATGACACATTGTGACAAGCCTTGTGCTAAGATCCGGGTTGTTCAGCCCTATGCTTTGTGTTCTGTGTGTCTAATGTATAGACTGACTGTGCATTCATCTGAGAAGTGGCTGCACGGTATTCACAGTTACTGTCATGTCCACTCAAGAGCTGTTGTGAGAACAGCCAGTTTGTAGCCTTTGGCTCTTAGAAACTAGCTATCATTCAAATCCTGAAGTTTGGCTTCGAATTTTAAAACTTAAAAATAGACTGAAATGAGAGCCAATAGGATAGCTTAGTGGGTCAAAGCTTGCTGTGCAAGGATGGATGGGGACCTGAGATTAGATCCCAGAACTCATGTCAAAGATCGGTATGGCAGCCTGTACTTGTAACTTTAGGGCTCGGGGTAGGAAGAGCAGACAGAGACAAATGGAATCTCAGGGCTTTTTGTTCAAACAGTTTAAGTGATATGTCCTAGCTTTTGTGAAATGACTTGTCTAAAAAAGAGAAGATAGAAACCAATAGAGAAAGACACATAAAGTTGACCTCTGTCTCACATACACACACACACACTCACAGACTCACATGCACCCACCCACACACAAACACACACAGACACACACAGTCACAGACACACATACACAGTCACAGACACACACACACAGTCACAGACACACACACAAACACACATAGATACACACACACTAACACACAGAGAGATACACACACATATAAACACAGACAAACACACACACACACGACTGAAATTGAAAAGGGCATTTACTTTCTGTGGGTAATCTGCAATCAACCTTTGTGAATTACCTCAATAAACATCTCTAAAGGAAATCATTTTTGCCCCTTGGGAAGCTGACATCTCACTGTTGAAAGTGCTCTTACTTCCACCAATCTGAGAGAAACACTTATGTTTGGCTCATTTGAAATAGGGCCTCTGTGTCCTTATTCTCTGATGATTTTTAAAAGTTTTTATGTAACAATAACCCCACGAAAGTCAGATAGAAATGGCCTTACCATCGCCGGGCCTTTCTTTGGGACACATTCTCAGTGTTTTTGTTTCCTGCACACAGCTGTGTGTGGTTAGCAGTTGTGTTCACTGTCAAGTGGAGGATGGAGCAAGTTCTTAAGACAATGATGTTTTGAGAATAGATGGGTAGATAGATGATAGATAGATGGATAGGTAGATGATAGATAGATGGATAGGTAGATGATAGACAGAGGGAGGTAGATAGACGATAGATATATAGTTAATAGGTAGATAGATAATAACCAGACATGTGCAGGAAACAGAGCTTTCTGCTTCTGGGAAAAAATAAACCCATAAAAATCTGTACTAGTTCTTGTACTAGTTCAGGCTTGAAAGACATGAACTAAGACAGAACGCTAAGCTATATTGATTACCATTGTTAAAGTAAGGGTACATCAGTGGGGCATCATCCATTCATCCATCCACCCATCCACCCACTCATCCATCCACCCATCCATCCACCCATGCATCCACTGATCCATACACCCACCTGTCCATCCATCTACCCACCATCCATCTATCCATCCATCTATCCATCCACCCATCCATCTACCCATCCATCCACTGATCCATACATCCACCTGTCTGTCCATCTACCCACCATCCATCTATCTATCCACCTATCCATCTATCCATCCATTCATCCACCCATTCATCCATCCATCCACCCACCCACCCATCCACCCACCCAGCATCCATCCATCCATCCATCCATCCATCCATCCATCCATCGATTTATTCAGCCAAAGTTAAACTGGGACCTTGTTCTGTGCTAAGTTCTGGAACTTTACAAAGGAACTGAAGCTGAGCTTGAACACTGAGATTACCAATAATCTATTGTCTTAAGTCTGGCTCCCTAGAAGCATACCCCAAGATGATGATTCTTCCTCAAGAAGTTGAGTGAGGAACGAGGTCAGATCAAAGTTTCAAGGTCCGTAAGTCTGCAGGAGCTGTTGAGCAGATGTGCAGCCTCGCTTTGATTCTGCTAGGATCTGTGAACTGTAGGTGGCATTGTATTCTCCTCCGAGCCAAGAAGGCTAGAATGTTTGTATCCCTGAGAATAAGGCACTTCTAGAGTAGCTGACACAAATCAGGTGAAGATATGCATAAACACATACATACACATGCACATGCACACACATGTGTTGCAAAAACAAAACAGAACAAAAAACAGGTGCAGCCCTAACTCAGCAATGAGATGTTTTGCTTTGCTGCTGGGTGCCTGGATGCTATTCGTGGAGGTGAAGTGCACGGGCACCAGGCTACAGGCACCAGGCTACGGGCACCAGGGTACGGGCACCAGGCTACAGGCACCAGGCTACGGGCACCAGGGTACGGGCACCAGGCTACAGGCAGCAGGCTACGGGCACCAGGCTATGGGCATCAGGCTACAGGCATCAGGCTACGGGCACCAGGCTACGTTCTTTTCTCTCCCTTTTGGGGCGCCAAGCTTGTGGGATGCCAACAAGTTGTTCAGTGGAGACAAGACACAGCCTAAGATAGGGGTCCCAGCCTGAGTTTCTCCAGATGAGAAATGGTGTGGGCTGGGATAGAGACTGCGGTTCTCGAACTCCTGGGCGCGCAGGCGTTGCTGGGAACTGCCAAGAATTAAGAATGGAAGCAGGGGGGCGGGAGTCGTGGGCCTGAGATGAGCCAGGGCGAGGGCAGAGGAATCCAGCTTAGCTCAGAGTGAGTGTCAAGAGGGCAGAGAGGCCTTCTGTGAGAGACGTAGGCGCCACTCTATACAATGAAGGCACCCCGTCATGGTGGTCTTTGATGAAGGAAACAGTCCTTGCTTGTCCAAACTATGTATGACAGAAAAGGATGCATACGACTTACTCAAGGTGAACCAGAGGTTAAATACTTTCTGCAGGAAGGGATGCCTGGGAAGGGAAGTTTATTGGTTAATCTCTCGGGTCCCATCTAGATACTCTGGGTTTCTATGCTATGTGACCAGTTGTCATGGTCTTCTTATTGGGGTGTCGTGGTCATGTGCTCTAAGACAGGAGTCTGGTAGGGAGCTAGTGAACTCCTGCCATTCTCAATTAAGAGTTCGGGGCATGAACTTTTGCTACTACCTTATTATGTTCTCCTGTCTAGTGGCATGATCCACTGCCCCACAGGGAGATGTGTGACCCCTCTGAGAAGGGATCCAGAGGAGTCAGCAGCACACAGCATCCAGGTTTCATGCTGTGAGAGACCTATATATCATTTACAGATGAACACAAAGAGTGGCTTGTTTTGTCTGCAGCAGCAGCAAGAGTCCACCATTTCTTGTATGCACTTCCAATGACGTGGTTGGCTTGTGTTGAAGAGCCACATGGTATGAGAAAATAGGTAACTAATAACATCAAACCACACCCAGAGAAGGGGAGAGTCTCAGGTTGTTAGGCTGTGCCCACAGGGTCTCGACTGTGTGTGTCAGGAAGTAGATACGACCAGACATACCATGGGATGTTCATCAGCAAGTGCCTGAGAGACCAGCGCTGGTGGAAGGGAGAGGTGCGAGCAGGGGCCAGGATGCTGAGTGTTGGATCACTGTTGGGAACCTGGGGAGGACTTACCAGAGCTGGACTACCATGGGCTAGGACAGTCTGGGTGTTTGAATCTCTTTCCTCCTACATTGGACAATCTCTGGAAGGACACACCTTAGATAAGGTCGCTCTCGGAAGCTGACGTCATCCCTGCAAGGACAGCGAGAGGCTCTTTGCTGGTTGTCTCCTATCTCCCGCGCTGCTGCTGGCCAGTGGGTACTCCCTGGAATGGGGACCAGTGACATAAACCTGTGCACGTAACTTGCAGGATCATCTTATGCTCACTGCCATTTGCAGGAATACGGTCTACTCATTACAGTTCTTTTCACAGAGAACTAGGGGATTGGCTCATGCTGAAGAACCTACAGTTTAGGGAATGCTTCACTATTTAAAGTTCACTCTGGGCTTTTAGCACAGGTCTGTCTTCACCTAAAACTAGACAATTCTGTGTTTTGAGGTTTCTCTTTATCAAATAACAGGCATTGTGCCAAGTATTTTACATTCCATCTTATTTAATGATTGCAAACGTCCTGTGAGGTAGGTAGTGTTACTCTCCACTTCACAGATGAGGAAACTCTGTATGATGAAGCTGCCTGCCCCATGGAGATGTGTTTGAACCAAAGTCCAAAGCTAAAAACACCTTTTAACCACCCTGCTAAGGCCACCGTGAAGGCAGTCTCCCCACCCTTTAATCTCAGTTAGTGTGTTCATTCACCCATGTTTTATGAGCGCATCTTATACCAGGACTGACCTGTGCTAACTTAATTTTAGAGAGTCAACAGAGAGACATCTGAGAAGAACCGTGTGTGTGTATCAAGACATCACACGCTGCCTCTATGAACGTGTATGATTGGTATGCCTTTATGGAACACTGAAACTTTTAATTAAGGAAAACCTCTGAAGATGGCCTTAGGTACACAGTCCTTGTAGGTCATCCCCTGCCTGTCTGTATGCTTATAATCATATCAAGAAGTTGGTGCAAATTTTGAATAAGCTTTGGCTATTTTCTAGGAAGTTAATTCAGTGTTTTTAACTTTTTAACAGGCTAAAAGGGATGCTAAGCGAATGTGTGCAAGAGAAGTCACTATTAATGTCACAGAGAACATCCGGCAGATGGACAGAAGTAAAAGGGTCACCAAGAACTGCATCAATTAGAAATGCCTGGGTGTGGGAGCACATGAACTTCTTGGTGGAGTCCAGTCAAAGAATCCTGAAGAAGTGGGTGTCACTCGCTGAACGTGGATGCCTCTGAGCGATACATGGCCACCCACGCTGTGACGGCCATCTCCGTTTCCTGTTTATCACATACAGAAAATACATCGAAAAGTCTTGAAATGTGTTCACAGATTGCCAAAATGTGGTTTGTTTTTCCCCTCTGCAGCTTCCGTAGCATGGTCTGCTGTAGCCGTGGTGAAGCCCGTGGTGGGTCTGTGAATGGGAAAGAAAGGGAGGAGGAATGGAATTCCCGGGTCAGGGGCTCACATCAGTGTGAGCTTTCACAGTGAGAGGCTTCAGACAAGCACCTTCTTTCTCCTTTCTTTTTAAATATGGTCATCTCGAAATTTACTGTTTTCACTTAAGAGCTGGGTCTCAGCCAATTCTAAACCCAGAAATACAAAAATGGAGAAACAGAGAGACTCAGAATGAGATCGATCAGTCCCAGCTTCACGTGCTGACCTCCCTGGTGCCTATGAAGTGTCTTTTAGAGGTGTCTACACCACACACACACACACACACACACACACACACACACACACACACACACACACCTGTTCCTCCTCTACCTGGAAAGGCCTTCCAGGCTGGCATCTAGGCATTGGCTTCCAAACCAGAATGTCACATGTCAGTGGCCCTTTCACCCAACCTGCAACCCCCCTTTGGGACCTAGCTTCATGTTGCTTTTTTCCAATATCTTTTCAGTTCTCTACAGTCCTCATGGGCTTGGCAAATCCAGTCAGGTCTCCTGCAGCTGGACACCACTCACGGGGGTGACCTAGGAACACATGGTGGCACACGTGATGCCCCTTTGGCCTTTCTGTACATAGCTCCAAGGACCATGTTATTTTGGTATCTGCAGAGTAGTTAGTTTGGAAAGCCAGAGGCTGGTTGATGTATATTCCTGTTGACATCAGACTGACAAGGCACTGTATGGGAAACCAGGCAGCCAACACAGAAAAGCGATGCTTTGATAGAAACCGTTTCCCGGCATCCTTAAACACAGCTTCCTGCAGAGTATGACACATGAGTTCGAAAGGACTGTTAACATGCTTGGGCTTATGAAAGGCGTAGTCCAAGTCACATCAAACTGTACCAACAAACTCACACCTAGCAGCAATAGCAGTCCGGTGACATGATTATATGACAGTCCAAGGAAAGCAACCTAAGCAGACTAAGATGCAGATGCTCACTCCTGTCTCCGAAACTATTTCTCCAACACAAATAGAACTGTACGCTGTATGTTTATTAGTATTCAAATTCACTGCCAACCTTGTGCCAACTACAGTAACAGACGCAGAGGGATTTGGAGTCTGGCAGTCACGACTGTACTTCTGACTCTGTGGGGAGGCTTGGTACTCAGAAGACTGATGTGGACCCTGTGGCACAGGACCAATTACTGCAGTGGAATCTCACTTTTAGGTTAAGGGTAGCTTTCTGTCACTCACAGATGTATGTCTTCTCCTTTGCTGTATACACCACAGTTCCCCTCACCTCGACTCCTTGTCAAAGGGCTTTTAGGGAACTTCATGTTCTGATAATGTAACTAATAAAACAAAAGCAAGCCCCGTGACTCCTATGTCCTCAGTGGCATCACTAGGCAGGAGTCCTTCCACAGGGTTGGCAACCGGTCCAATCCTGCAAGCTCAAGGGCTTGCTCTCCAGGGCATGTGCGCTGTGTTTTGACATGCTGCTTCCCCACTTGATGCTATCAGCCACGGGCTAAGGCCAGCTTCTCTTCCCAACTCTTGTGTTTGCCTCAGTTCACTGGAATTTACCATCTGGAAAAGATGTCTCTGCAAATATAGAAACATGTTCTCACTGTGAGAGGAGAAGGAGCGGAGGGAGGGCCTGTGATCTGGCCGCACCTTTGAAATTTCCATCTGGCAAGTTTTAAATGTGTGTTTAAAGTGGGAGCTGATTCTTCCTATCCTATTGGGATAACACTTTCCATTTCAAAGTTTGTGTCAATAAAGTCATTAATTTCAAACAGATGTGGATGGTTACAAAGGCTCTTTACTGGAACCGTAAATCTGTATGCATAGCTGGTTAGAATTTTTTAAAACAAAGGCGTTTGACTTAAGTGAAACAGCCTCATGAATTAGGTGAATTAGGTATGGGGACTGCAGGTAGCTCTAACTTACACCTACAGAGGTATTTATAGCTTTCTAGCCAGGGATGGGTGACGTGGGATGCCAGACAGAAATGTCAACCAAAGATCAGTGCTTCCCCGACATTCCCATACCTGACTCAGAATGTCCAGCATAGTTGAAACTCAGCTACCTAGACAAAGAACTGTCATGTACCCCGAAATCGAGCCAAGCTTAGGAGGACAAGGGGGTGATTGGAGAGAGCTGCAATTAGAGAGCTTGGGACAGCCTGGGCTCACTTAGCCTTCTAGACAGGGTAACCCTGATCTTGTATGAGAAGGTTCTCTGGGTTAAGGTCAGGAAACAAGTTCATAATTCAGGGATGACAGAAACTGCCCTCTTTATAATAATTGTCTGGGCCTAAAGAGTAGGAAGTGAGGGCTACTTAGGCTGCGGCTGATGCCCTGCACTCATGAGACATACCTCTAGATGCCCAGATCCTCAGTGCATTCAGACCTATTTGTCCTGTGTCAAAGACCTACTAGCCTCCATTGGTGGCCACTCCCCAGTGTCACAGAAACACCTCCCCTCCATATCTGTTCCTCTAAGCAGGGTCTCCAAGGAGGGAGTCTTTTGCTGAAATCAGGTCAAAGGCATGGTCTATTCAGCCATCCTCCTGTACAGACATTGGAATTCTGTGCACGGAGCTCCAGCAGATGCCCCGCACTGAGAACTCCATATACGCTCACAGGAAGTTTGAGCATACAACGTCTCAATCCATCATACACTGATTTAGAATGAACGTTGTGCTTGTGAGTCTCCTTTTTTTCCTGCTGCTTAGAAGGTGGAGGGAAAAGCTGCAGCAATACTTGTCCACTGGGCTGTCCAAGCACCATAGCGGAAGCTATGCCAAAGCAAGCAACACATTGGAAGAAGCCTCCTCGAACCCAGAACTGTACATACTTAGACCATCTGTGACCAAGAGATATAAATTTGCTTTATTTAATCTACACTTATAGGTTGCAATTCATCTACAAACCTAATTTATTTTCTTTTGAAGAATTGGAAGGTCTCTGTCCCTGAATCCCTTGATACCAAGTTTGCTGGAGCCGATGTCTGCATGATCTGGAACTGGTGACTCCAGACCAGTGTGACTTATATATAGCAACTCTACCTTCCTCACCTGTCTGAGGTGCAACCCCCTTTCCAAATATCTGAGGGTTTTTTTTTTTTGTTTTTGTTTTTAAGGGTCATTCAAATAAAGATCGTCCCCTCATCATTTTCACAAGTCTGGGAAGTAGCTAATCTTGGGAAATTTTTCTGAGGAGATAAGTTTCAGATATGACTCAGTAGCTAAAAGTATGTGGTTATTCACTTTCATGTACTGTATTTATTAAAAAGTTTTGATGTGCCAGAAATCAGAAATTACACAATTACATCTATCTATCTATCTATCTATCTATCTATCTATCTATCTATCTATCTATCATCTATCTATCATCTACCTATTTTCTATCACCTATCTGTCTGTGTCTGTCTGTCTATTGTTTTTGCTGTTCTCCCAAAATATTGTCTCCACAAGGGCAGGGACCATGTCTACTTTATTGCCAATTTCTAGCACATTAAAGCTTTACAAAAAATATAAGACTGCATTTTGATCTTATTTGGCCCCCCCCGGCTGTCGGGGGTGGGGGTTGTGCCTCTGCTGACCTCTTCACTACTTCCCTCCATCCCGCCCCCCCACCAGTTTCTTTTTGAAGCATCTATAGTGAGGTTTGTTTATAGAAATGTGTTTGTACAGCACTCTTCAGTCGCTGTCTCTGGTGATAAGAACGTTTCCTGCATAAGTATAGAGAAGACAGCTTCCCCGGGCTTTATCTCCTTCTTTCAGGAGGAAAAGGAATCAGAGCTTTCCTCTTGGAACATTTTCTAAAGTTCTGTTAGGTCTAAATAATCTTTATGCCAAAGCGACATCTCTGTGGTTGTATATTCTATGGCTCTTTAGTGGCAATTCAGCTAACTTGTTATAATAGGAAATGTATACATACACTCTTTCAACAATTCCATTTTGAGTAAAATCTGTGCCACGGAGTGAACTGTAGACCCTTCTAACTCATATGCTGAAGTCCTCAATCTGTTAGTAGAGAACGCAATTGTATTTGAAGATGGGTGTTTAAGGTGGCAAATAAGACAAAATGAGATGATCCTAATCTAACATAACTTTCATACTTCTGCAAAGGAGTGATTGGGGCACACAGACACACAGACACAGAAACACAGACACACAGACACACAGACACACAGACACACAGACACACAGAGAGGAAAGTCCCTGTGAGATGCCAGAGGAAGACGCCCACAGGCAAATGGAGGAGAAAAGACTCAGAAGTAAACTTCCTGCTGATACTTTGCCTCAGACTTTCAGGCTCTCCATTTCGAGAAAATCAATGTCTGTTAAATTTCTGGGGCTGTGGGATTTTGTGAAGGCATCCCTAGCAAACTGGTACAACATGACACCCTAGAAAAATACTTGAGCCTTTTTATCAGCTGGGTGTGTGGGCCACCGTTCAGTCTTCTGGAACTTGGGTTTTAAGGAATAAGAGCAGCAGCGGACAGGAGAACACAGTTCCATGGGGACACTGCTACATCTACCCCCCCTAAAGTGCTCCCAGTGGAGGATCACTGCCTTCCCTGGCTGGAGGACTTCCCCTTTCCCTTCCAGGGTATAGATTGCCGGGATATTGATACTCGTTCATCTCCTTCCCTCATCCCAATATCCTTCACTGAATGACTGCTTCGGAAGTTCGACTTTGGGCTGGTAATGCTAAGATATGTGTTTTATATGAGTTCCTAGAATTTTCCCAGATGTATTAACTCCAATCACCCAGCAAGTAGCTAGTTTAATAACATACTCCTTTATTGAATGCTTCTCAGATTAGTCTCCAGGTGGGTGTGCTGCTGTGGTGTGGCCTTCAATATGAACGTCATTCGCTTTCTTGTCTCTTTTTTATTACAACGCTTAAACACCATAGATTTCAAAGACTTGTTTCTACCTCCTTCTTCCAAGCATGCTTAGAATATGAGAAAATTTCTCAGTTGTCAGTGTGCAACTAATTCTTGGCTTCCTTGAATGTCTAAATGGTTTGTTTGAATATGGTACCCCAACAAATTGATTTTGTGGTGAAAATCAAATGGGTAAATGTTCTGTCTTACTTCGTAGATATAAGAGATACCTTGGAAAGAAATATTCCCAAGGATACCTTGGTAGAAGCTACATGAGTTTCTAAGACAGGTAGGTAGTAGGAATGAGTTTGTAGAACATTAGACACAGTAGAATCTGAGAAGAAAAGTACATGTTGTGTTTAAGAGCACTTGATGTTAAAACAAGACAAAAACAACAGCAACAACAGCAAAACACTCGCTAAGAGAAACAACTGTACCAGGATTGCAACCCATACTATGGATTAGAGTTGGATCAGATTCCATAGGAAGTCTCCATAGCAAGCACGGACAAGGAGCAGAGTCCAGCGAAAACACACCATACTGTGAGATGGTCAAGACCAAGCTGCAGTCTCCCCAGGGAAGCATGATGTTTACACCAGTGAACCCAACTACAACTCTTTAAACTGCAGTAGCCATGTTGCCCAGCATGTGACGACTAGTTAAAATTTTAGTGAACAGCTGTCTGGAATATCAGCAAGGTTGACCACTGTCGTTGAGTAGTTGGGCGCCCCCAGGTCTATTTCATTGTTTGTCATTTCCTTCTCAAGCTTCTTCCATCTGCTATTCTGACTGAGACATTCTTCTCTAGGGTCAACAATACTTTACACTGCTGAGCTCAGCAACATGTGTGACTCCTCCTCTTGCTTCGTCTCTCTGCTACATTCTCTGATTTTTCATGAGCTCTCCCCACCTTGGGCCACTCTAACCCTCCTAATTCTGTGACTTGCCCCTCTCCCTTTGCCTTTTGTACCTGTTCCGGAAGTGTCTGTGGTCCTTGAGATTTGCTCTTCAATTTTCCCTCTTTAGATTCTGCCCATGTTTACTTTTATTTTGTTTAGTTTTGGCTTCTGAACAATTTCCTCTGATCCCATGGTCTGTGTGACTTACATCCCAGGTCCTCTGTACTTCAAGCCCCTGTGCCATGTATCTGGGAGGTCTCGGGACACATTTATTTACATGGCCAGTGGGGCAGGGAAGCAGGAGGACCTGAGTCCCACCCCCAGCACCCATATTAAAAGCTGGGCATGGTGGCCTGTGCCTGTAACCCCTGTGCTGAGAAGGCAAACCAGGCAGATCCCTAGAACTTGATGAACAGACAGCCCTGATCGCTAAGCCCTGGGTCAGTGAAAGACTGCCTCAAAAAGCAAGGACAGAACTGAAAAGACGGCTCCACACTTAAGAGCACTGGCTATTCTTCCAGATGGACGCTTTCAGATGACCTGGGTTTAACTCCCAGCACTCACATGGCAGTTCACCACTG